TGCATGAACAGGGGAGAATAAAACAGATTTTAATGAGGAATCCTTGTAGCACCTTAGAGACTAACAAATTTATTTGGGCATAAGCTTTCATAGGCTAAAACCCACTTCATCAGATGCATGGAGTGAAAATACAGGAGCAGGTATAAATACATGAAAGGATGGGGGTTGCTTTGCCAAATGTGAGGTCAGGGTAATGAGATAAATCAATTAACAGCAGGATACCATGGGAGGAAAAATAACTTTTGAAGTGGTAAGAGAGTGGCTCATTATAGACAATTGACAAGAAGGTGTGAGTAACAGTAGGGAGAAATTAGTATTGGGGAAATTAAGTTCATGTTTTGTAATGACCCAACCACTCCCAGTCTCTATTCAGGCCTAATCTGATGGTATCCAGTTTGCAAATTAATTCCAGTTCTGCAGCTTCACGTTGGAGTCTGTTTTTGAAGTTTTTTTGTTGAAGAATTGCCACTTTTAGGTCTGTTATTGAGTGACCAGAGAGATTGAAGTGCTCTCCTACTGGTTTTTGAATGTTGTGATTCCTGATGTCAGATTTGTGTCCATATATTCTTTTGCTTAGAGACTGTCTGGTTTGGCCAATGTATATGGCAGAGGGGCATTCCTGGCACATGATGGCATATATCACATTGGTAGATGTGCCGATGAACGAGCCCTTGATGGTGTAGCTGTTGTGGTTAGGTCCTATGATGGTGTTCCTTGAATAGATATGTGGACACAGTTGGCAATGGGCTCTGTTGCAAGGATAGGTTCCTGGGTTAGTGGTTCTGTTGTGTGGTGTGTGGTTGCTGGTGAGTATTTGCTTCAGGTTGGGGGGCTGTCTGTAAGCGAGGACTGGCCTGTCTCCCAAGGTCTGTGAGAGTGAGGGATCATCCTTCAGGATAGGTTGTAGATCCTTAATGATGTGCTGGAGCGGTTTTAGTTGGGGGCTGTAGGTGACTGCTAGTGGTGTTCTGTTACTTTCTTTGTTGGGCCTGTCTTGTAATAGATGACTTCTGGGTACCCTTCGGGCTCTGTCAATCTGTTTCCTCACTTCACCAGGGGGGTGTTGCAGTTTTAAGAACGCTTGATAGAGATTCTGTAGGTATTTGTCTCTGTCTGAGGGATCGGAGCAAATGCGGTTGTATCTTAGAGCTTGGCTGTAGACAATGGATTGTGTGATGTGGTTTGGATGAAAGCTGGAAGCATGTAGGTAAGTATAGCAGTTAGTAGGTTTCCAGTATAGGGTAGTGTTTATGTGACCATTGCTTATTAGCACTGTAGTGTCTAGGAAGTGGACCTCTTGTGTGGACTGGTCCTGGCTGAGGTTGATGGTAAGGAGGAAATCATTGAAATCTTAGTGGAATTCCTAAAGGGCTTCCTTCCTATGGGTCCAGATGATGATGTAGACGTCATCAATGTAGTGCAAGAAAAGTAGGGATGTAAGGGGACGAGAGCTGAGGAAGCGTTCTAAGTCAGCCATAAAAATGCAAGTAATCATCACCTTAAAATTGCTGGAAGATGAAAGAAGAACATACACACACCAGATGTTACTACTGTGCCATCTAGAGTTAGAACCACACCACTGCAGCTCATTGTACATGTCAATCTGGTATAAAATTCACTTGTGACATGGGGAATCCGGAAGCTAAATCTGACAACAAAGATCATATTACTGCTCTCCATACTAAATCTGGCAGTTACAGTCTACCCATGTCTCTTGTAGACTGTAGGAAATACATAGAATCATAGAATATCAGGGTTGGAAGGGACCTCAGGAGGTCATCTAGTCCAATCCCCTGCTCAAAGCAGGACCAATCCCCAATTTTTGCCCCAGATCCCAAATGGCCCCCTCAAGGATTGAACTCACAACCCTGGGTTTAGCAGACCAATGCTCAAACCACTGAGCTATCCCTCCCCCCATAGCTCATCCTTTCTAAATGGACCCACTGGCAATAAACATCCTTCTCCATACACAGGTGACTATCACATGCCAGAATACTGTTGCTACTGGGCCCAGGTTGGTAACTACTGGTTTATCTCATCCCTATTATTTATAACGGTCATTGTTTCCCTTCTACCATCTTATTCTAAAATAGTAACAATTTAGGTGAATGGTCTTGTGTTGTATCCCTTATCCCCTTTCTTTGCTTCATCTGTATATACATTTTAAGCATTTAAGTATTCTAGTGAATTTGTGCAGTGCTCAAATCAGGCTAAGAACTAAAGGGCCAGATTTTTCCCAGTGCTCAGCATCTGGTTGGTTCTGGATTTTTGAAAGAGCCCAGCAGTTTACAGATGTCAGTTTTTCAAAAATGCTCAGCTGCTATTGAGAGTCATCTGGCCCCTTCCTACAAGCATTTAAATAGAAGCTAAAAGTGCAGAGATCTTTTGAAATCTAGCCCAAAATAAATTAGAGCATTTAAAGTTTTTGTTTATTTAAAGGCAGAGGCAATCTAGATTTCCTTGAATTCCTCCTCTTTTTTGGAGCCTATCATGCCAGAGGCAGTAGTTGCAAGAGTTGGATTTTAGAGTACAGCTGGTACCTCACCTGTGTCTCCACACACTTCTAAAGGCCTTGGATCTAAAAGTTTAACATGCTGGAAGCAGATTCTCCCATTTTTTTAAATTATTTTTTCATAAAGAGACCACTACCTAAACTAAGAACAGGCTTTTGCCATCTACATTAAAATCTAATTTTGCATTAATCTAGTTAGTTTATAGGACTCCTACTAGTTAAAATACTAGGTATTTCAGAGAAAATATATTTTCAGTCATGTGAAAAGAAATAGATTGAACTCATCCCCAGAGCTTCTCTAGACCATCTCTTTCTACTTCATCCCCAGCAAGCCTCTGCTGTAATAGGTCTCTGCACATTGTTCTCATCTCAGCTGCATGAATAGCCCTGTAGCACTCACTCTCTCCACCGTAGCATAGTGGGTGTTCTTTGATGGATGCTAGCAGTTCATTTAGCCTAGACTAATAAATCCTATAGGAGGCCAATCAATAATCCTATAGGCAGCAGGCCTTGTTCTTTGCTTTTACCAAAGCACTATCATTAGACTGCAGAAGAAATCACTACCTACCCTATTTTCTGATGAAGATGTGCATCTTTGGAAAACAGGGCCTAATTCCCATACCACTCCTCTAACAGAAACCCCATTCTCAGCCTAAAGGCTCTTTTCTTGAACATCTGAAATACTTGTAATCATGGTCTTCACCCCACCCCCTTAAAGTCTTTAACAGTTCTTACAGGACATAGACACCCACTTTAGAATGGCAGAAGAGGATCTTGCAAGCTATCACTGGACAGCATCACACCAAAGAACTCTGATGAGAATTGTCACGAGTTTGCTATTGTACTTACTGAGAGGACGGTGACAGTCATTCACAAGTGTTATTAGTCAGTACAATAGCAAGTTGGGTCTCTTCATATTTTATTCATTAGGTTCTTCCTCTAGATGGTAGCAGTTTACTGTATTTTAGGAATTTCTATCAGACATTTCTAGTTGTATATTGAATTGCTACACAACCAAAGAAGTCATCTTGGTCTAACCTACCAGATTAGAAACCCATAATCAATGCCAATAATGAATCTGACAGAAGCTGAAGCCCAGAGTATTCCTACACCCTGCTATCTAAGCATTAGTCATAGCCAGAGACACTTGTGTTGACTAACAAGCACTTACTAGTACTATCAGACTCAGTTTAAGACTAATTTCTATGGGCAGTAAACTTAACCACTTTTGGCAAAACTAGAGAAGAGCTGCCCTCCGCCAGCCAGCAGAGCAGTGCTGGACTCTGCACAGCACTCATTTCCCTTCCACCTCCTGTAGATCACACCCTCCAACTGAGATACGGAGCTACTAGAGGTGGGCTTGGAATAGCTTATTTATTGGATGGCAGGGAGCCTCAATAACTGGTGACTTTTCCATTAAAAAAAATTCACCACCACAAGATGTTAGAACCACCTGTAGTGAATAACTCAAGTAGTTGTTTCAGTATAATGATAGTGATCATTTCATTGATATCACATTTGCTTGTTCAGAGAAGACAGACTTGACTACCACAGAAAGAGCAGATTCAGTGCTATAGCAGTGCCTCCAGGTCATATTTGAAGAACAGTGGTCACTGCACTATAAGTGTACCTAGACTACTATATAGCCAAGGTTGTTAGCTTGGCACTTGCTCATAACTCTTCACTTCAATTATGTGCACACGTACACTCCTGCAATTTCCTGTCTTGAAGTTCAGTGTACAAAGATGCTGAAAGATAGGGAACGGTGCAAAAGGCCCAGTCAAGAATAGCTGATATAAAATAAATATTCCAGTTTTTCCAGTGAAAGCTGCCTTAGTTGTTGAACTCTACAAGTTGGCTTTATGTCAGAAGACAAAAGGTTGTTTTTAAATTGTAACTTCCAGACACTCAATAGCTTTCCGTTAGAAAGCCCCACACTAAACTATTTGGCAGTGAAAAGTTTCCATGAAGGTAACGAATGAGCAAAGGCCAGAGAGTGGGTTTCAGGAGCAGAAATGCTTTCTGTGCTGCCAAGAGTCATTAGTAACAGTGTGAAAACCAGGTAAGCTGGAAGATTTCCACAAGCAAGGGAGCATCAATTTTTGGGGGGGGGGGGGGGGTGGGAGAAAGAAGAGAGATTGAATATTAACATGCGATTAGAAAAAAAAATCCAGCTATTTAAACACTTTGAAGCTGTGGGCAGTGGCAGTTTCCTCTTTGGCCACTAGGACTGGTCATGTATCTACCACTTCACACCAACACTCCACAGATAACTAAGTCTTTTTGTCTGCTCTGCCAACCCTCAGAACTTCAAGTCCCTTCCTTAAGGCAAGCTTGACAGTGAATTGTAGGGTGGGGAAAATGAGTGATATCTAATCTAAACAGTTTGTTAATAGCTCTGTTGTAACAGTGTGTATTTCTGGAAAGTGCAGAAGTAGCAATCAGAAAACATTTAAATTGGTTTGCAAAAATCACCTCAAGTCATAACAATGATTCACTTTGTTTAATTCCTGTACTGAAACAGGTGTTATAATTACTGCAAATTTGTTTACATCAACTTAATTCTTCTCAAAAGGAAACAAATTTATCTTTCAACAGAAGCTGAGGTTCTCCCCTGACACTGAAATGACCAGACATTCCTCAGTTGTTCATAAGGTAACAACGATGTTTCTGGAGTGAGAAAATGCCAATAGAGTTATTTGTAAACATTAAACCGACAACAGTAAGTACATTAAAATCCCATATTTCCATCCTAAAATAACCACAAAACTTTGACAGGAAATACATAGAGTTTATTATGTGTGTACCCCATTTCATTATGTGGAGGAGGAAATCTGAGGCAACAGTTTGGTGCAGTACAGACAAGCAACATAATATACAGTAGCTGCACACAGCTTGATTTGTTTTGAATCACAACTAAATATTCTTACTATGACCATTAGTACAGAAATGTTCTGCAATTAGAAAAAATGAGAAGTATTTCTCTCATGCTGTACAATCTCACAAGGACTCTGGTAGAAAATAACTGATCATGTTTAAATTTTTTATGCCAACTTGTTCGGCTGTTGCCTCTGGAATGTTCAGCACAAAGGTTAAGTTCCAGACATAATTTAAGTGCTTTTCATGTGCAAACTGTTACTGGCTAAAGCTTTCAAAGTACATTTAATTACAGATATGAACACCCTGTAAAGATATGAGGATATGATAGAAGACCCATAGGCCATTAGAATTTTTTTTTCTTTTAAAGAGAAATGCTATGTTCCACTGCAGTAGTTCTAGTCCCTGATGAGGTCCTTCCAAGTAGGACTGTTCACTTGTAGGAGATAGACCATTCTTTGACAGAAGCATCATGGGATGTTGTTACCAGGGTATGTTCATCCAGCCATGCCAAGCTGCTTACATGATGTAGTCTATGAGCGTCTGTACAGATGGAAGGAGATGAATTTTTTAAAAACTCACAATTTAATATTAAGAATTGATAGGACAATATTTTTATTTTGAAAAAAATTTGAATTAGAACATAAGAACGGCCATACCGGGTCAGACCAAAGGTCCCTCTAACCCAGTATCCTGTCTTCCGACAGTGGCCAATGTCAGGTGCCCCAGAGGGAATGAACAGAACAGGTAATCACCAAGTGATCCATCCCCTGTCGCCCATTCCCAGCTTCTGCCAAACAGAGGCTAGGGACACCATCCCTGTCCATCCTAGCTAATTGTGATTGATGGATCTATCCTCCATGAACTTATCTAGTTCTTTTTCCAACTGTAGTGCACAAAGTACTTGTAAAATGCAGTTGCCTGCAAAGTGCACTTAGTGAGTGGCCGTCTTGATCCGTAACAGTTAGAATGTTAAAATTACATTACAGAGGGTAGACTAGATGTCTCCACCCCTATCTGGGAGGAGGAGAATTGCTAGTGTAGTTCTGACAGAGAAAGCACTGTCCATATTTCGAGAGAGACGAGTAATTCTCAAAACTAAACCTTTCTAGCAAAGAAGAGGTGCACAACGTACCTGGTATCTTGACTCTGGTCTCTGGGTCACTTAAGGTCCAAACATAAACCATCATGTCCATGCCCCCAGAGGCAAAATGCTCATTGTCTGGAGACCAGGCAAGGCAAACAATTTTTGCATGGTGTCCATAGAAGATGTTATGTTCCTATTGTGGAGTTATTGGGAAAATGGTGTTATTTTACAGACTTCAGGTAGCTATTCTTTTACCTGTGACATTGTCCCTCATTAACAGGCAACAAATTTTAATATGTTGCTAGAAAAAGTTAATATATCTGTATACCCCAGGTACACAGTAAAATTCTAAGCTAAGTGCCTTTTACATTTGAAAAGCATGGTTATTACACAAGTCTGTCATGGGAGTTATTTAAAATGTCCATTTTATGCTATTTCTATAAACATCTGAAAGGAGCCCACAGAATTCAAACCAAAATGGATCAAAAATGGTAGGACTGGATGTTCAAGTTTTCAGCAAAAACAAATTGGAGATCCTAGAACTCTCAAAATGTCCTGCTCAGCCTCAGCTGTAGCACAGAAGGGGTTGATTGAAGCCTTTGAAAGCAGCTGTACAGTAGGTGTTTTGAGAAACAACCTATATTTGATGGTGACCACATCCTGAATGAAATCTTTCCCAAACACCCCCCACTGACCAGAGCACCCCAAATCAAAGTGGCACCAGCCTCTGCCACAACAGATGCAAAACTTCTACAACTTTCTAGATCCCCAGGTTCTCCACATGTGGCGTACCTCATCCAGTCCACTAAGTGCCCCAACAACTGAGTGAGTGAAAAAGACACACTACGCTCTCAAATGAGCTCAGACAGAAAAAATGATAGAAAGGAAAAAACACATAACCATGGGCAAGCATTTCTCACAAAAATGATCACTCCATATCGGACCTCGCAGCCCTTGTCCTCAAAGGGAACCTACACAACACCTCCAAAAGATGAGCCTGGGAACTTAGGACTGATCCTTGGTGTCCAGCAGAGTTTAATACAGACACTGGATGTATGGCTCATTACAATTATCTGTAACCCACTAACCCTCTGTCCTACAACAACAGAGGTGTTAACTACCCATGGTCACCTTAGGTGGTCTCTTGAATGTGGGTTAAATACATAAGTGGAACAGATAAGGAATTAACTGTGACACAGGGTATGCCTACACTTAAGATGGTACAACACCACAGCTACACCACTGTAGTGCTTCAGTGTAGCCACTACTTAGGCTGGTGGGAGGAGTTCTCCTGTCAGTATAGGTAATTCACCTCCCCAAGAGGCAGCAGCTAGGTCAAGGGAAGAATTCTTCAGTCAGCCTAGTGCTGGCCAGGGGATAGCTCATATTATGTCGCTCGGGGATGTGGGTTTTTCACACCCCTGAGTAACACAGTTAAGCTGACAATTTTCTAGTGTAGACCAGGTCTGTGCATCTTTCCCAGATGTGAAGAAGAGTTCTGTGTAAGCTTGAACAGTTGTCTTTCCACCAATATAAGCTGGTCTGATTTTTTTTTTTTTTTTTTAAAAAGTAACCTTGACCCACTTCATCTTTTGAAAAGAGAAACCTTTTTAGTTCTGCTCAGAGCCAAGAGTGCAAGACAATAGCATGGAAGAAGGAACAGCCCCCCCGTCCCCACCTCCTCGACATTCCATTTCAGTGCAATTTCAGTCCAGCTAATTTAAAGGCTTCATTCTCAGTCCTTGCTTTCTTTTTTTAAAGAGAGCATATGGATTATCTCCAATTCCTCTTCTGCCCATTTCAGTGCATGGCCTTCACACAGAGTTAAGCACTGTGGCTAACAAGTTTTATTAGAAAGTGCATCTTACAGTTCTGCACAGATTGCAGTCTAATCAGACTACTTACTCCCTCAGGCCAACCCAGTTTCCAGAAGTTATGGAAATCTTTGCTGACATGCACACTGATGGATAGGGAAAGACTTGTTCAAGGTCACTGTGCATTGGTTGTGATTGAGGTTTCCATTACAGACACACTACAATGCAGGTCAAATAAGGAACTTGCGAGACCCTAGACAGTTTATGCTGAATAGCAGCAAGCCTACCACAGATCAGATTGCCCCTCCCCCTTGCAGGTCACACCCTGCCAAGTGATTTTTAAAAGGCACCTCTGATTGGAAAGAACTTGTTTTCTCTATTTTTCTTGTTCTCTAATTTGGATGAATTAGTATCTTTTTTCTAGTAACCAACCTATGCTGCTCTTTCCTTCCCCTGACCCAAGGTCATAATTTTGTTTGAGACTTCAAAACTGGCTGTTGTGAAAATCATCTCAACAGGAGATACTACAGAATTACACACAAGTAGGCATTAGTGGCATTTGACTTTTTACCCCCAGTACAGACTAAGTCACACCTGGCTGTGCCTTTACTTCTACACACAGTTTTAGGACTAATAAATACTTTTGTTGGAAATCATAAGTCAGATACAGCAATTCTTACCGCATAGCCATCAGCAACACTAAAGACAGTGACAACTTTGTTTGCATCACAAACTGCAAGAAAGGCACCATCGTGAGAATATGCCAGGTCAGTCACAGGACCTTTAGCTTGCAAGGTCTTCTCATCGATTTTCAGAGAGGTTCCTTGGATTGAATATAGATGGACATTCCCATCCTGCAAGTTAATAATGAAAATCAAAGCTTTACAACAAAAATCAGGAAGGTTATTAAGTTAGAGGATCATATGCAATTATAGGTATTTCTCCCTTTGAGAGATACAGTCAGTATTTTTAGGGTATATTGGCCACATGTCGTCAAATTAAAAACATGCTACTGCTTTAAGACATGGGCGGAGAGTTTTGAGAAAAAGCTTACTTGATAACTAACTAGGGAGAATATGTTGTGGAATGTATACTAACCACAAAAGTGGGAGAATCTAATGGAAGGAGGCCAGAAGATAGCAGTTTAACAAAAAGCCCAACAGCACAACTTTAAATTAAAAGCAACAATATTCGTATACTGCCAACTTTGATATCTTGGTGCAGCAATAGCTGAGTGAAGTTTAAAGAACAAGCATAACTAAAAACCCCACAACCATGGAATACTGTTCCAGTGTTCACAAGAGTGTATCCTTACCAGGCCTCCCACTGCAGCGGTACCACCTCCTGGGTGAATGGCCACCACTTCTGGTTCATAGCCAGGGTCATCAACTGCAAAACATTTCTTCTTATTCTTCATCAAGATGATCTAGAAATGTAGAGCAATGTACCATAGAGACCATTAGGTTCAAAATGCTTGACAGGCTATACTAGTGCACTCTGCTCGTCAGCCACAATAGGAGTTACTACTTCATTGGTTCAAAAGAGTATTGAGATTCATTCTAATCTATACAGATTAGAAGTGTATAAAACACCTATACCTTGTGACCAAGCTTTTTCCTCCTATGAGCATTTGACAGGGATGCAGGTACTGCTGCAGACCGCCTTCAATCTACTAACTGCAAGCAGTCAGGACATGCTCTTGCATACAGTTAGCTGAAGTTCATTTAGTCACAACAAAAGAGGGGCATGAAGAACTCAAGCATTTCAAGCAATGCCTACTATCTTTTGTTGGGATGACTGAGTTACAAAGTACAGGCTGTTAATATCATGTGCAAAGGGTCATTTTCCTGTCCAGTTACAGTTTCCCATTAGAGGCAAATCATAACTAAAAACAAGTAGTTTGGATGACGCAGTTGAGATCATGAAAGTTCAACCAACATCCTTATTAGTCAAAAGCATTGCAAAGGAATGTAAGTATGGGTGGCTGGTGAACCCTGGGCTTGGGGAAGCAAGTGGCCAGCTCACCCTTTTTGCCTGAGGCCCCGCCCCTCCTGCCAGAGCCCAGAGGCCCTCCCTCCCCCAACTTGCCGCCCCCCGGAGCACAGGCTGGCCCTCCATTAGTCCCAGCCGCAGGGGAAGAGCCCCCCACAACACAGCACCAGGAAGCAGGAAGAGGTCTGGGGGCTGAGTGTGTGTGGGGCCATGCAAGGCTGTTTGGGGAGGCTCAGCCTTCCGTGGCCTTTGATACCCATTAATGTAAGTGTGGTTTAAACAGACACATCCCTGAAGAAACAAGGATCTTTGGTTCTGCTTCATTTGAATCATGCTGAGGAGCTTGAGTAATCCTCCAACTATCGTAGAGTGTGCTCCAACAATAGCCAAGAGATCCATATCTATGGTGCCAGGTGATAAGCAAGCTGTACACCAAAGATTGATATAACAGCATAAGTGGACTAGCCTGCCAAAAGTAACAAATGTTTAAGCAAGAGACTAAGAGGAGAACTAGTCCCTGCTTCTATATTTTTACTACTGACCAAGGTCCTAAAACTGTTATACTGACCATATCCAATATAGTTATCAGCGACTAATGATTTTGTGTTTCTTATATTAGCAATAATCTCCCTTCCAATTTTTTTTTATTTTATTTAAAGAGGTTAAGTATCTATTGGGATTTTGGTTTTACATCTGTATAATCACTGTATGAGCTAGAAGGTTAGATATGTATTTGCTCCTGCTCATTAACAGAAAAAGCTACCTTCCATATTTAAAGTGTTCACACACACCCACCAAAAGGAGAAAAACAAATTAAAGAAGAAACCAACACTGCTGTAATCAACACTGGATTCAAATTTCAGGTAGATTTTCATGTTGACTCAGCCTTTTTAGGCCACTAAATCCAGTGACCTCATTAGAGGCGTATGGCTACATACAATTCAGGCACTGGATTTAACAAACTTCGCTTTTCTACCAGTTTTAAAGTTTGGTGCAACCCCATAGCATGGATGCAGGTATACCTTGATACTGGTGTAATGCATCCACACTAGAGGTCTGCACCAATTTAAAATAGACAAACTGATTTAAAAAAAAATAATCAGTGCCAACACTGTATTTAGACAAGTCTTACACCAGCAGATTCTTTGATTTAGTTATGTTTGCACAGAATTTAAAAATAGTAAGGTGCTATGTAAGTGCTACCATGGGCTAACATTAACAGCTGATCCACATTGACAGCTGCCTCTACCAACATAGAATCCCCCACTGAAATAAGTTTTAGAAATTTCTTAGTGTACCAATGACATACTCAGAGCATTAAATACTGTATAGGTTACACAAGGCATGTCTACACAACCAGACCCCTGCAGCTGGCCCATACCAGTTGACTTGGGCTCACAGGGCTTAGAGGTCCTTACAGCAGTGAAACAGCTCTGCAGCCCGAGCCCCACAAGCCCTAGTTGGCTGGCCCAGGCCAGCTGTGGGGGTCTAGTTGCTGTGTAGACAGACCCAGATATTATCCTGATACTTACTTGTCCAATGCATATAACTACTGTATATCCACCAGGACCAACAGCTAAACATTTTGGTTGGACATCCATTTTTACAACATCCTGGCCACTGAAAAGAAAAATACAAATTGCTTTTCCGTGTCTTTATTTTATTCATGTACAAGTCTCAATTCAATAGTCAGCCATTGAGAGATCCTTGAAAAGTTACCATGAAATAGGTCTGCAATATGCAGATTCACAATCACGATCTACAGCTGGATTCCAGTCTTAGAAGTTAGGGCTTATCTACATGGGGACACTTGAGAAAATTAACCTGTTTTAAAATTTTTAAAGTGGATTACTTTACCCACATTAAATTCTCATGGGGATACTCCGATTCAGAATTAAAAAGTGACCTTAATTCATCTTAATTTAACTTCAGAGAGATAGAGATAGACTGGGTAATCCTAAAAGGACTCATCTCCTGAGGAGGCAGGATTGGCATAACCACAGGGGAAAGAATGGTTTCCAAAAAGAATCTTAGAGCTCGTTTTCCTCTGATACGTGGCTTTATATAGTACACTGTAAGAGCTGAAGCATGCTCTCTCTCTGATATATCTATATCCTATCTAGTGAAGACAAAACCCTACAAAAGTCATGCAATACAAGACAGATATATCTGGCTGCCTAAAAAATAAAAATAAAATCAGAAAATACTAAATTAGTCTTATGTAGGTAGAAGAAAAAAATTTAAATGACTATTGTTTCACAGATAAAGCAAGTTGGGTATTGCAAGCATTTCTAGGATTTTCATGGTAACTTGAAAAATTTTCTCAAGTTGTATGATTAAGCTAGTCAGCATTCCACACTGTACCAGTGAAATTCTCTTGATGCAACACAAAAAACACAACCCAATACATTCAAACACGACCAAATATGGTAGCCTCACTAACCTGTAGTCTCTCTTGGTTAGGCTAGTATAACGCACAGTGTCATCCATACTGCAACTGACCAGCTGATCCAATTCATCCACAGCCATTCTAGAAACCTGGTTTGTATGTCCTTTTCCAGAAAAGTCATCATTCTCCCCAGTTTCGGAATCCCAATAATGTGCAAAGTAGAATTAAGAAAGTTTTTCTTAGGAGTGGGGGGGGAGGTGGGGGGGAGGGGAAGGGGAGGAAGAAGGCTTGCAGAAAAACTAGGAGTTCCAACTCCCAATTCCAGATAATGAAAATGAACACTGACTCAAGTATTCCATAAAGGAATTAAATAAAATATTATTTGAATAACCATTTTAGAACAGTAAAAAAGTATTGGCAAACAACAAATCATTTAGTGTTAGGTCTCAATGCCTAAGCAACACTTGCCAAGAGGGATACGGATAGGAAAAGTAAAATGAGTGTTTTTTACACAAGGGACTAGTCAATCTGACGTGTTATTACCATGAAAGCTTCTTCCTCAGCAAGCCTTCAAGTTTGCTTCATATATTTGCCAAAAGATAATGCAGTTACTGTGTGCATTATGTTCACAAGGAGCGTAAATGTATTATACATCACATGTTGTTTAAGGGAATATATTAAAAAATTGTATAAACTCACATTTGCCTGTTACAGAAAAAGCTAATGGCGTTCTGCTCTACAAAAAACAAAACCAAAAACTCTCACAGGCTGACCCACTAACCACACCCTGACCCACACCCTAGATCGCATTCCATGTTTATTGCTCCACAGACCAGTGGGAACTGGGATTATTATATAATTAATAAATGTGCAAATTCTCTGGGGGTTGGGGACCTGATTATGCTTGAGACACTGGCTAGATAAGTAACGGTAACTGGCTATTAACTGGCTAGAACAGTAACGGTAAGACTGTCACCCACCCATGAGGATAAAAATTAAGGCCATGATAAGGTGGTGAGAAACTTGCAGCTCTGAGAACAATGCAGAAAGCTATGCTTATTAGTATATAAGCCCAGAGGCAGAGCAACAAGGAGTTCATAATCCTTTCAGTTTAGGGATGACTGGATTACCTCTTCTGTTCATTCCCTCTGAAGCACCTGGCATTGGCCACTATTGAAGACAGGATACTGAGCTGGATGGACCTTTGGTCTGACTCAGTATGGCTGTTCTTATTAATGTTAATAGGGATTCAGGTAAGACTACTGTGGTATCAGGAAAGCAAGTTATTAAGAGAATGGTAAAGATTACAGGTAAGTGCCATGTATAGTACAAGTTAGCAGGAATTTGGTTCAGCAATACAATTTTATTCAGGAATGTCAGAGGAAGTTATCTTGTCTTCAGTAAAGTGATTTAAAAAGTTCCTAGGAAGTAGCATACCCATCTTAAAGAGAAGTGGGACTATAATAACACCATTTGATCACCAGAAAGGATATTAATGTGTCCATCATGACTTCCAGAGTAAATATAGGATTTTCCACCATTTTTATGCACGGTCAGACACTGAACTGATTTACTATGACCCTGTGAGAGAATATAATTAGTGGGCAATTCATTTCTCAGTTATTCAAACTAAAAGAAAAGCAATCTATTCACAAAGTGTAACCGGTAAGATTTAGAAAGTAACATCACATCTTGGTTTTGGTCTTTGTTCAATCTCAAAGTTCAAATGACTAGCTGTCTAGGTCTGTTTCAAGGAATCAATAGATTAAAAAAAGTGTTACAGTACTGACATTTTCAGACAAATTCTGAAGAATTAAATATTCTGTAGTATGAATAGGTACACACTTATTTTTGGACAGAGATCTCTTTAGGACCCTTTCCATGCATATGTGTTATGTTCCATCATAAGCAAGTTCAGTGTTTACAAGATGGTCAAATATGGTCACCTATACGTACTGGTTGCCAGAAATCCAGCAACAATAGTTAAAAAAAAAGAAATCTAGGACACAGGTTTCTAGTTCATGTAAAATGTAAGCTCCCATGGGATTGCTTTGTCACCCTGCCAAATAATTCCCAATATTAGAGCTTGATGACATAATGAACCATATCTCCATGTTCATAACAGTTAGCACTTGCAGGACGATGAAATAAGATGCCCATGGGTGGTATTCTAACTCAGGATTCTTTTAGTGTAATTTTAAGCATGTTTAAAAACTAGTGTGGAAGTAAGCTATTTTATTAGCATAATTAAGACCATTACTCACCTACACATTTGCACAAAGTATAACTACTATATTTGACTGTTATGACTCAGGTGTTAGTCAGTGATACGCTCAGCAATATCCAAGCTTGACGGTTCAAAGAGATTCTTTACAGCCACATTTTAATGGAACAGTTACTATTCCCAAACAGATTATTGCTAAAACCAAACTATGTGCAGCAGAAGGTGTCTGCTGCAGTGTGATCAAGGTCACCATACCTTTATGACACGTAGAGGCTTATTTGGGTTATTCTTATCCAAATAGTTAATGTAACCAGAGAGGGAGAGGCTCAGTAAGTGGTCCTTCTGCCACAAGCAACCCAACTGCTGATCCAGAACATCTGATCCCATGTTAAACGTACTGACAAGAGAGTTAGCACCAACATCCCAGATTTTAGCAGTTTTGTCTCCAGAAGCAGAAAGCAAGTGACTGCTATCAGGGCTCCAGCTAATCTGTAAAAACAAGTACCTGCCTTAGTATACAGAGTGCACTTTCCAGCAACAACAGTATAAGATATTTATTGTGCTGCAGTTATGAAACACAAAAAAATACTTACAGCATAAATGCCTCCATCATGAGCCTTATTTCCACCCAGAGCACAAACTCTCTCTCCAGTCTTCCCATCATAGACAAAAATCTTTAAAAAAAATTAATCACATAAGCATATTATACACAGTGACAGACAATTAGAGGAAGGCTTGCACATATACAATCTCCAAAATGTATTATATATACAGCTAACTCTTTGCTGCAGGCATAAAAGTTAAGTCTTCAAGACAAATGCATACTTGTATATTAAATATTTAAGGTACCAGAGGATGTTCAGGCATTCTAAATAAAAGCAGCAAGCTGTTCCATGCAGGAATTCTGACATCTGAAATATTGGAAAGTATTATGCTTATGGCTCCTACTGTGATAGCCGCAGCTCCCTGCTAGTCATTGGAATCTGCCCATATGCAGGGAGCTATCCATGGCAACAGTGCTGTTGTAATTCTCAACCTCCTAAGCTGATAAAAATGTATAGAGGTAGGCTCTTACCTAGCCATTTATACCGCACCCACCTTCTCAGCCAGTGCAAGGAGTCTAGCAGTGGAAGCACCAGCACAGCTACGTGGTGGTACAAGATCAAGCCTTTCCATAGTGAATTTGAGAATTTGGGGATATTTTCCTTTGAGTCTGAAGAAAGCCTTGCAGCTAAAAGCTGTAGGCAGGGGTATCATCCCCCCAGCAGATAGGTAACCTGCGTTGGGGAGGTGCAGCAGGAAGAGAGATAAACAAGGTGCAGTCTGATAGGAGCAGCATCAGGTTTTTGTAGAACAGCTGCTGCTGCAGCAGTATCATAGGAGAATAATGACAGTTCTTAAGTCTGTTTTCTCACAGTAAAGAGAATCAGTATGTAGGCTGTGGAACTGCTCCCCAAAACCCCATCCCCCTCAAAGAGTGTAACTCACAATTATTCCCCTCCCCCACACGTGGATATCAAGGTGGCAGCTCATTTTTACCTGGCCATCTGCACTAGATGTAGCAAATCTGTTCCCATCAGGAGAGAACCTCACACAGTTAACAAAACGGCTGTGGTCCTGCAGGAGACAGCAATTAGCACCCAGCCAAAAACAGAAGCGCTTTTTAAAGACATCTCATATAAGTTACTTGATCCCCATGAGACCCATTCATTTACAGTGAAATTTTCAAGCAAGAGACTCTCCACCCTACTCAAGCCACAGACTGGCTGTGAGGAAGAGGCCGACAGTGGAAACTTCTGCACCGTCTAGCACAGGTAAGCATGGAGGGTGACAGAGATAGGTCAAGAGCAACCACAGGATCCATGGTTCTGCAGTTCAAATAGCTTTAATGCAGCATACAAATCCGATTAGAAGTAATCGCCATGGCTTTGGTTAGGAGGGAAGAAGGCTGAACAACAGCCCCCATCCCATTCAGGATTGCTATTTTGTCTCCACCCCCCCACATCTGGTCACTTCATATGTATAAAGCCTTAGGAATCAGGCTTCTGCAGGTGAGCTGAATTCCACCCATAATAATCAGAAAAATGCATCAGTTTTATGCCCAATGCTTATAATACTCACTGATTTGGATTTTGCTAAAGAAGCTGTTACTGAAAGCTGAACGGTCTGAGGCTGAGTTGCCCATACACAAATCTAGCCACTATTAGTGATCATTTAAACCTTCAGGAATTTGTTCTCCAAGAGGATTGTTCACACTACAAAAAATCTAACAACCCTGGCAGAGAGTCTCAGAGTCTGGGTCAGCAAGGCAGATGTTTCCACTCAGACTTGGAGACTCTTCCACCACCTTGACAGGTCTGAGTCCAGGCTCCAGCCAGAGTGGGAATATCTACACTGCTGTTTTCAGCTCCGTAGCACAAGCCAGCGTTAGCTGACCTCGGTTCTCGGACTCACTGATGAATTTCCCTCCCCGCTTGCAGTAGACATACTGCAAGAGAGCCAAAAAATAAAAAGTAGCTACTGAAGTTCAAATGTATATTCAGCAGTGATGTCACTTAACTGATTGTGGCACTCTAAACTGTTCGTTTGCGAAGTCTGGAATGGAAAAAGGACTAAAAAGCACTTAAGGTTTAAAGTCAGCTTAAGCCACATGCAAACAATAGGTTTCCAATTGCCTTAAAATTAATCGCCAGGTTTAAACTTTTCAAGAAGACCTACTAGTATGGTAAGGACCTTCATCTGCAACAGCGCCAAGTGGCAAGGCCTACCCAGAAGAAGATAGGCCCCAAGTAATAAGGCCAAGAGACTCCCTAAGGGATGACATAATATGAATGGTTTGGATATAGTCATTCCAGTATTTGGAAGTTTTCACATTGCACTAGTGCAACACAAACCAGAAATTAAAGCTGACTTGTTATTTTCATTGTCCAGACAGAAAGTAATAGCAAAGGATGAACGTTAGATTTGTAATTTCAAGTTTAATAACCTGTAGTAATTTTTCGAGATCTAGGCTAACATTTTCAAAGCTGCCTCAAGGGATTTGGATGCCTAATTCCTGTTTAGAATTGAGAATCCAAATCCCTTAAAGAGATTTGGAGATTCCAAACCCCTCCCCCGCCACAGCTCCCCCCGCCCCCAAACTGAGCACTGCTGAAAGTATTGTTAAGAAACATGGTAGAATATTTTGAAATTGCACTAAATGAAGGAAACAAACTGCTCAAGATGGGATACTGAAAGTTTTGTTTCCAGTTACACTTCCTACAAACCCACAAAAGGGTAATGAAAGCCAGCACAGAAACAGATCTGAGATGACACTAAACTTAAAATTATACGGTTTTGAAGAATTAGTTTAGAGTTTCCTTTCTAACCCATCATTTATTTTGTTTTTCTGAGCTTGAGCGAGACCTTCAATTATCTTCAAACATGGGTTTTAAAAAGCTACTCAATGCTAAATAGATTTTAAACTGGAAACCAAGATTTTGTTATGGCAATGAGCTGTATCACAAAAAACTAAGTGTACTGGAGAACTGTGAAGACTTTTTAGTATATATCCATACGACTTAACAAAGAGACATAACCGAACTTATGTGCAGAAGGAGAAAAGTAAGTTAGACTCACGCTTATTGTAAACTTGAATTTGAATGGCGGTCCCTCAAAGAAAGCACCACAATTGTCATCACTGCCAGTTACTATACGATAGGGCCTTGTTTGTTTTATATCCACGCTGTTGATCACCTTGTTGTGTCCAGAGATCTCTCCGACTGAAGAGCCAGTATCCCATAGGAACACTGCTCCAAATCTATTTAAAGATGACACAATACACATAGTCCATAAAATAAAAATTACATGAAGGCTAACTCCTTGAGCATCAGTAATCTGCATTGAGTGCATGCAGAGAATAGAAATTAGGTCATCTAGTTAATCTCATGCAAGTGCAGCATTGTTCCCTAAAGGATATTCAAGTCCTTTGTCTAGGAGACAGAGTCCAAAAACTCAGACGAGGATGACATCTGCCACATGTACCAAGCAGAGAAGCAAATATACAAAGCTTTTTAAATTAAAAATATCCCTTGGATCTCACTTTAAGGGATCAACTACTTAAAGCTTACTGAGAGGAGCAAGTTGATGTCCCAGGTGGATAATTGCTACAAAACAGATAATGGATAGTATGGAAGGCTGGAATATAAAGCAGCATCAAGTCCATCATATGTAGGGTCAAATTCACCATCCATTTTGGTCTATTTCACAGTCATAGGATTTTAAATATTGTAAATTTCATTATTTTAGCTATTTGTGAAATTTCAGACATAATGGTGTAATTGTAGGGGTACTGACCCAAAAAGAAGGGGGGGGGGAGAACGCAAAGTCACTGTAGGGGTGGATGCAGTACTGCTACCCTTACCTCTGCGCTGCTGCGGGTGCTGGGCTCCCAGCCAGCAGCTGCCCAACTCTGAAGGCAACGCTACCGCCAGCAGCGGCACAGAAGACAGGAGGACATGGTATGGCATGGCCACCCTTACTTCTTCGCTGCTGCCTGCAGAGCCGGGCCCTCAGTCAGCAGCCACCGCACTCCAGCCGCCAGCTCTGAAGGCAACAGCACAGACGGTGGCATAGTATGGTATTGCCACCCTTCCTTCTATGCTGCTACCAGCGAGGTGCTGGGTGCCCAGCCACTGCTCTCTGGCCGACCAGCTCTGAAGGCAGCGCAGAAGCAAGCATGGCAATACTGCACCCCCCCGGCATATAACCTTGCAACCCCCCTAAAACTCCCTTTTGGGTCAGGTCCCCCAATTTGAGAAATGCTGGTCTCCCCCATGAGATCTGTATAGTATAGGGTAAAAGCGCATAAGAGACCAGATTTCACGGTCTGTGATGCGTTTTTCATGGTGAATTTGGCAGGGCCCTAACCACGTGATTTAGGACAGAACAGTTGATTATTGCTTTAAAAGTCCTGTAGGTATCTACAAGATGTTAGTGAAGTAATTAGTACTTCACCTATGCTGAACAACACCTAGAGATCTCCAAAATAACTTCTTGTAATGTTTTATAGCGACACAGTTCAGTGAACCGCAGGAGAGAGGGACACGAACTACTGAGTGACGAGAAGACAAATCTTAGCATACCAAAGCATTGGCAGTTACTATTTCAGCGGCATTTAAAAAAAACCACAAAAAGTTAAGTCTGTAACCACAATGCATTAACAAAACAAGTTTTATCAGAACACATGAAAAAATCCTTTGTCAGCTTTTGTGTTTTTAAAACAGTAAAAAATACTCACTGCCAGAGTAATGTAGTTAAACAAGCTCTAGACCATCATTTCAGCAAGTTTTAAAATGAAGCTAGATTTGCTAGAAATGCAATACGATTCGTTAGGAAACCTTAATAACTTTGCTCTATTATTTCCTAAGTTTTCCTAACTTCTGGGCATTTTAAAAGAAACAAAAATAGGAACGCTGATATGCAAGTCACCATACACATTTCTTCAGTACCAACCCTTGAGACATTAGCAAACAAACTAATGCAGGAGGTGTCTCCCCAAAGCATTAAGTTAGGAGTCAATATAAAGTAGAATTTCAAAGATATGAACTCCAGAGTTACAGATTTACCAGTCAACCGGACACCAATCAGGCAGCAGCAGCGACAAAAACAAAAATACAGCAAATGCTGTACTGCCCTGGGGCATGGGGGGAGGAGGAGGAAAGGGGGAAAAAAAGATTTGGTGCTTCTGCCCTGCGGGAACACTGGACTCAGAGGAGAAGAAAGAAAGAGGGAGGGTGGAGTACTGTAGTTTCAGCCACACTGCTCCATTCCCAACTTCAGCCCCAGCGCTCCCCCCATAGCTAAACCCCTGATGTATTCCCTGCTAAAACTAGGAGCAGAGCCATGGGGCACCCCCCACGGGACAGAGACCAGGGACAGAGCTGCAGGGCTGAAGCCCTGAGCCCCAGCGCTCCCTCTGGGTCTAATGCCCTGCTCTGATGCTCCCACAGGGCAGAAGTCCTGACCTCTCCACACCCATGCCTAGAACCCCGAACTCCCCATCCTGCAGTTGCAACCCCTCCCTTCCGCCCCCAGTGGCTGAAGTCCGTAACGTCTTTTTCAGAGTTACGAACAACCTCCATTCCCAAGGTGTCCATAACTGAGGTGCTACTGTACCAACTACTTGCACAGAACAGTAATTAGCCTTAAGATACAGTATGTGGCCTATGCCTGGAGGCCACTCTTGCTGGATTTGGTCCCCATCTTCACAGGTCTGCCAACCTTTTGTACTAGCAAGTGTACACATGTACCCGATTGAAGCTATACAAACAGGCACTTCTAGCCTGACAGACAAGAGGCAATTGGTGGTGAATTATGTTCTTATTGCACTTAACTGCCCCCCAAATCTAGTTGTGCTCATGTGGAAGATGCAAATATAAGTGTGATTCTCTCTCCCCAACAACACATTTTGTAAAACATTAAAGTTTTTAAGATCCCTGCGGTTCTCCCTGCTTAACAATCCCCCTCCCCCAAAAAACAAAAAAACCACCACACCCTCTGAACAGAACAGGCAATCTTGAATTGATTGTATGCAGTGTCGTAACCATGTCGGTCCCAGAATTAGCGAGACATGGCGTGGAAGGCAGTATCTTTTATTGGACCATCTCACCCACCTGTCTCCCTAATCTTGAATTGCTACCATTTAAGGAAGAAAAAAAAAAGGTCGTATGCTCTAGAAAGGTCTATTTTAATGGCATTGTGCTTCCCCAGTGAATAAGCTACACACAGTTCAGCAGCTGTCAAATGCTATGTAAAGAATGTTGCTACTAAACAACGAATCTAGAAGTCTAAACAAGGAGTGCGACACACATTTCTCTTAGAGGAGCTGAGAGCTTTTGCCATCACTGATTTTGTTTTGTTAGGACACAATAGATTGAGAATTACTCACTTCTCCCTGCCTTCCCCCACAGCGGCAAGCCTCTTGCTGTCTTCAGTCCAGGCAATATCTTTTATTTTTCCTGCAAATGGCTGATATTCATACTTCAGTAGGTGTTCCTTCTGGGTGGTATCCCAAATTCTAAGCTTTCCAGAGACATCTGCCATAACACAGTAGTACATAAGTATCACTGTTCCAGCAAGTATCAAATAGTCACATGTCTCAGCCATCTGTCACAGTAAAAATTTTCAGCCTTACTGATTGCTAGTGCTAAAAACCTACCATCATATGCCATTATACAGACTAAGATTCCTAAATAAAACTGAATCCAATAAGCATTAAAAATTGGAGCGCTTTAAAATCATATATTCAAAGTTCAGCATGCAGAATTGATGATTACAGGAGTGTCTGAGGTAGGAACAAATCTACTGTGTGTCTGAGAGTCAGGCATTTGTGCAAATATGACTCTGTAAGTCTCCCAACCACAAACATAATAACCTGGCCTACTCGTGCATTTAAGTTCTGTATGCACATGTATAAAGTTTAAAAGCTGGATTGCTACCCAAAGGTCAAATAAGTGTATTCAACAATCGTTGGCGATCCCTCGAAGTTGAGGATGATGGACAATCCAGGAAAGACAATTTCAAGTTGTTGGAGAGTCTGCAGATGGCTGAGGCGGCCTATTCTAGAACCAGACTCTTCCATGTTGCAGACATTTCCAAGCAGATGGGCGAGCCTGGGCCCTGGCCTGCTCGGTCAATCCCGTTTTTCCATTATTCAACAACAGTGATGTCATGACAGGCAAGGAATACAAGTCTATCTTTTTTAGACCAGAGGTCTCATTTATGCCTAATATTCTGAGCATGCATTGTCGATTGCCTTGAATCAATTACCACCTCTTCAGAATACTAGAGAGGTGTGGAACATGCTTCAATTCAGAGGAAATATTGTGGTGTTGCTAGTCACAAGCTGGGACGCTCTGTATCTCAGGGGAACACCCTACAACCGCATGTTCATCTTTATAAAATGATTGTGTGGTATCCAATGTAAAGTTTGTCATGTTGGGTGTCTTCGGAAGGCTCATGATGCACTAAGCATGATGGTTATAGTAACTGTTACAGTAATGTTATAGGTTATAATTTCATAACACGGCTGTTCCTCTGAAACCATGTATATAATTATGAGGCTCAAAATGTATCTCCATGGCTTAAAGCAAGCATAGGCAAAACTTTCCAAGAACAGAGAGGCAGTTAACACCTCATTAGGGCACGTATGGGACAAACCCAGCTCAGCCTCACAGGAACAAAGGACGTTCTCGAGGGAGTCGCCCCTCTTCCTTTGGTCAATTTGGAACTGCAATGAGGTAATGCTCACCTGACTCTGAAGGGGTTGTGGGGGATACGCAATGCCAAGAGGGAAGAAAGGCCATGATAAAAAGGAAAGTATCAGAAGGGTAGCCTTATTAGTCTGTATTCACAGAAACAGCAAGGAATCTGGTGGCACCTTAAAGACCATACATTTATTTGGGTATAAGCTTTCGTTGGTAAAAAATCCATTTCTTCAGATGCATGGAGGAAGTGGGTTTTTACCCACGAAAGCTTATGCCCAAATAAATGTTTGGCCTCTAAAGGTGCCACACTCCTCATTTTTATTTTTTTTGATAAAAGGGAGAGACATTTGCCATGCTCTCTCTCTCCCGCCTACATCTACAGACACCACATACCAAATGACTGAAGCACTGATCAAAGGGGAGAGCCTGGCTGAAGAGCAACCAGCCAGCCTGTGGTGAGAAGTATCTAAGTTTGTACTAATAAGATCAGCTGAGAATGCGTTTTGTTTTTATTTCATTTGACCAAATCTGACTTGTTTTGATTTATAGTCACTCAAAAAATCGATCTTTATAGTTAATAAATTTGTTTATTCTACTTGAAGCAGTACATTTGGTTTGAAGTGTCAGAGACTCTCCTTGGGATAACAAGCCTGATACATATCAATTTCTTTGTTAAACTGACAAACTCTCAGAAGCTTGCAATGTCCAGCGGACATAACTGGGCACTGCAAGACTAAGGTTCCTAGGGATGTGTCTGGGACCGGTGATATTGGCTAGTGTTATTAGGTTGCACAATCCAAGGAGCAGCTTACATGCCAGAGGTTGTGAGTGAACAGCCCAGGAGTGGGGTTCTCACAGCAGAGCAGGGTAAGGCTGGCTCCCAGAGTCAACGACTGGAGCGACCTAGCAGATCACCGGTCCAGATAACACCAGAGGGGAATGTCACAAGTAGAACATTTTATAATTCAGACAGCGTTAGTCTTTTGTAATATAAAAACGCACAAAATAGATTTGTATTAGGCCTTTAAAAAAGGCAGTTTGAAAAAGTTTGCATATTAATCTATTCCACCCAGCAGAATTCAGGCCTGTGTATTTAAAGTTCTGTATATTTATATGGTCCTCTTCAATATAGTATCTGGCCCCACACAACACCCTAGGTAGGGATTTATTATCCCTATTTTACAGATAGGGAAAGAGGCACGAGGTGGATTAAGTGTTTTTTTGAAGAACACCTAGAAGTGTGTTATTGAACCTGGATTCAAACCCATTATTCCCAAGTCCAAGTCCTGTACCCTGCCCACTGAAGTATTCACTTGAAGACAACATCTACATTAGCATTTTGTTATTGCTCCTCGCCCCTCCCATCATTTCTCTACTGCTATACTAGCACTGGTGGGAACACTAGCATAAGAAGCGTGCAGGCCTCTGTGCCCCGGGGTTATGTAATTCAGCTCAGCAATATCTAGGGAGAAAATGCAGGCATGGTTGTTTCTCATAGTGACATTTAAGACAATGCACAATTGCTTTGTGACAAAGTGACAAACTTAAGGGTTAAATGTATAATTTTGATCTGTGCTCAGTATAGTGGCAAGTTACTTACAGGGTATGCCCCAAAAAAAAAGTTAAGGGAAGACTTTTGATACTCAGTGTTTGAGTATGTGGTAGGATGGATGATGGCTCAGATGCCCCTGCTAGCAGACTCAGTTAATAATGATCTGTGCTTAGCAGCAGCTTCTCCAACCAGACCACAATTAAGGAAAAATGCAGCACTGATCTCAGTGAGGGGGGACCTCACACACTACTGTTCAGAGTCCCTCAGAGTGGAATTTTACATTTCTAATGCTCTGCCTATTAACAAGAATAAAGTAGATGGGCACTTGGGCAAAGTGATGTATCAGCATAGAACAAACCCAAGAGTGCTGGGTTTGGGGCAGAGAGACACCACACACAACAACATTTTAAAAGGAATCAGTTTGACAAACACATGGACTGCGTGCCAGGAAAACCCTGCCTTTGATACAGACTAGTTTATAAGGCTGCACCCTACTGATCTGTGCTCAAAAGATATGTGCAAAGCTTGGGATATGCATGGAGAGGTCCCGGGGGGGGGATGGGGGATCACTGTAACTTCCCCCAAATTCAAGATTCTCCATTTTATCTTTCAAAATGGCAGAGAGGATTTAGGTGGTCCCACTCTGAGATTATTGCAGGAGTTGTGCCCCCACTCAACATGGCTGTAAGAGCGCGTTCTCATAGAAGGTCCATAGTGGCTCTTCTATTTACAGAGAGTATGTACAAAGAATATGCACACCCAATGTTCTGTGGAACCTGGCTTCATGGAACCTCCCTGTCCACAGCTCAGCTTTAACGAAAAAAAAGCTGATAGAACCTCTGAAGGACCTGGACGTCTGAGACTAGATCCAAAGCCATGGAGTGGTTCTACAATAAACTGGCCCATGAGATCTTGGCAGTGCTGTGTGGCTATTCAGGAACTTAGTTGAAACCAGGATTCCAGCCTGGAGCAGACATCATCTTGCAGACTCCAGAAGTCAATTTGGCATGTGTTCACATTTGGAAGGTTTTATTCTCAACCAAATGGGTTGGGAACTTCTTTAAAAAATGAATATGAAGACAAGTTTCCTACTTGTCAATACAGCCACCATGAAAGTGTTATGTAATTTTCTTTTAAAAATCTTTTTAAAGTACTTATGGTTTATTAATATTTATTCTCCAACACGTACCATCTTTAAAGTTTCCTTTATTGATTTTTGTCTTTTCATCTGACAATCATCAATTCTCTAATGGAGCATGGCATTAATGTAGATTCGTGTCCTTGTTTATACAATAGTATCAAAAATAAATTTTAGTTTCAGCCAGGAAGCCAGATGATGCAGCAAGGGCCTCGCTTACTGTAGATTCTCAAAGTTTTCATAGAATCTTTACACAAAAAGTTTGAGAATCAGCATTCTTTCCCTGCTAAGTTGCTGCAGTGAAAGCTGCAGTTCAGTTTACAGTGCTGAGAGATCAGGCCAGCACCAAGGAAAATGAGGACCTTTTTGTGTGCAAGAGTGAGAGAAAGACACACACCCACACAGAACCAGTGGCAGAATTTCATTTTAGAGACAGAGAATTTGACACCATATTTACCGCTTAGAGAACTCGTAAAGGGCAAAAACCAAAGTTAAAAATTCCACAGTTCACTCCTAATGCTGATGCACATACAAAGCATTCACTATAGCTAAAAGGACCATTTATAATAAGGTAATACACTTGTACACAGACATAAAATTAAGTTTAGAGTCGAGTATATTAAAATAAATTTTGGATTTAAACTAAGAAGTATCACTTCAAAAAGAAATAATACACTACACTGTCTCCTCCATGAGGAGACAAGTTTAACATTAATGGCATATGATTAGGAAAAAAATACTTATTTTTGTTACAGCTTTGTTAAATATGATCAAGCTGTATAACTAAAGTCTGCGCCACTAAGTTTTACCTAAGCATTTTAGCAGTCCTGTCCCATAGCTCATACCAGAATGCGTTCTGATACTTTACCTCCAGAAGCTATGTAGAATCCACTGGGAGCATACTTGGCAACCACAACTTGATGGGCATGCTCAGTATAGATATCAGCAATTGCTGGATTCTACAGATGAAACAGAATTAAAAAGTTACAAGATGACATTGTGAGTTTCAGACAAAGGAGAATCAAAACTGTTTTAAAGCTGAGACATTGGAGATACTTAAATCCCATGTATAATAAAGAGGAAGGGAGAACAAAAGTAAAACATGCCGCTGATCAGTGGAAACTTACTGTTTAGTGTGACAAACAATACAGGGTGTAACATGGCTGCAGTTGTGATAAGTAATATCCCCACTGGCCAATCACACATTAGCGTAATTCCCAAAATACCTGTATACAATACTGGAGGTTGGCAACTCATTGACTGATAAAAACTAAGTTGCACTGGAACGCAGAGAGAAAGGGCTCCAGAACAGGAATCAAGATAAAAGCACTTAAATATAGAGAACTGCATAGAAAGATGGGTAAGTGAGAGAAGAACGTAATGTTCCACTTTGTAGAGTACTAAGCATGTATAAAAGTTACTTCAGTAAAACGTGCCTAGAAAGCCTTAGAACAAAAACATTAGAGAGCCCTTTGCTTAGCAGGATATATGCACCTGTAGTTTCTGATGTATTAATACTGTAAGTCTTCACTGCTAGAACTAGAGACATTTTACAAGAGTTGCATCAGCAGGCACAGGAGATTACTTAGTAAATCAATGTGGATTGAAATGTCCGTCTTTTGGGTAAGCTAATTTATAAGCAGCTTTCCCCAAATGGATTTCAACAGAAGGGCTAATATAGAAAAAGTTTTTCCTATGATCAATAGGAAAATTGGGATGCAGAAACAGTCGCATCATTGACTGTCAAGACATTACAATTATAGCTTTTATGCTACTCTTTGGAGAGGTCTTCAAACTCCATAGCAGAAGAGACACTTAGGTCATTCAACACATGCTCAGATGCCTCAAAGTTTAACCACAAAACTGAGACAGTGAATGAATGTGTGTTGATGACTGAGGAGCTCTATCATCCAGACCATATCAAGGAGAACACAAGAGATGAAAACACAAGAGATACTTGTCTATATTTGTTATTGCATATCATAACATATTTATTCCACAGAGTTATGACTGTTCACGTGCAGCATACCAGCTAAATAAATTGCAGAACAATAGTCCAAAAAAATTAATCAGTTCACCTTTCATCTCCAAAACGACTTGTGTTGTTTGTTCAAAAGGAAAAAAGTGTGGCTGAAATTGTTTTGATGCTGTAATTCATAAACAAACATTTGTTTGACTGCATCATAAAAATCACTAAGTAATATAGTATGATTCGATCATGTGCTCAGGAGAAACTGGACCGTTACAGAGTAGGTACTCTGTATTAGAAAGCTTGCAGGCTTTTTACCAGGAAAAGGTCTTGCTCTTGCCAGTAATATCAGTCTCTCAGAGATGTAATGTAGCTTACTCAAGCAAGGGTAAGCTTTTCTATTTCTGGTCTAGAATACATTTATACTGGTTGAGTGCACTTCTAGCTCTGGCAAGTCAGAAATTATTGCACTATCAAGAGTCACCCAATTCCCTGCGACTCTCCATTTTGCTGGGTGATTGAATTTAAGTAAGCAAAACATGCCAGTCCTACAGGTCAAATAAGTTCCTATTCCTCTCTATTGTAGTTTCATCTCCGATAAGTTCGGGAGCCTCTCTGTATACTGCATTCTATTGCCAACATCATGAGTGGCTCCTGTTTTATAGCAGAGTTACAACAGCTCACTGAAGCTAAGTGGATAAAAACTGGACTTAAGGGGCACTGAATTTAAGACAGTTAAGCTTCTGGGTTTTTTTTTTTTTTTTTTTTAAAAGCCTACTGCTGTTAAAGCTTGAGTGCCAAACAAACTAGCTTTTTTTCCAGTTTATTTTCTTTGTATATTTAATAGCACTATTTCCACCCAATTACAGTCAGTTCCCTCATTTGCATGCATCTTTCACCCAACAGGTAAGAGCAAAACATTTGTTTAGAATTAGAAGTTATGAAAGGACCAGAAAAATTAGGAATGGAATGAATCGAAATTCAGGGGCAGGTACAGTATCTAACACCATCATTAACTCTCAAAAAAAAAAAAAAAAAAAAAAAAAAAGAGGACCAGCTAGCAGGAAAAGGAGGCAGGGACATGTTCAACAAGACAAAAAAACCCAGAATTCATTGAGCTAATGTGGCCCTTACACGGATACCAGAGCTGCTTAGAATAGCTTGGAACTCAAACTGCCTCAGACTTTGCAGGAAGAGGCACCCATATGGAAGTAAAATATTCATGAGATATCAGGTCTTCTAAGTATCACTGATCCCTCTTGCCTTAGCAGTGCTTTTCCAACACATCCAAGACGTCAATGTACTGAGTCACGTTTTGGACTTCTTTGTCATAGCTAAGAGACCATCCTCATCAGCTCCCAAGTACTTCACTCGGGACAATGGATTTGTAAGACACGAATGACCTGTCTGGTTTATTGGCTAGAATGAAGCAGTCCCAGGTGGAACTTGGAGAGTTATTCGATTGTACAGGAGTCACATGTAGTGTTCTCCAAGGGTCTGTCCCTTGTTTGTGCGGACATGGGGGTAGAGTTATTTGCCTAGGCTTCCCTATTTTTGATGGGGAGTGTTTCAGAGACTAAGTCAATACGTAGTACAGGTATAGTCCTTTACCAGGAAGAGGATTATTTCCATTTAATAATACTATTAAATTGAACCAAAAACTATGATGCATTCTTTTGTGACATTAAAACTGACTATTGGAACAAATTTTGTAACAGGCTGCAGTCAGCTGATAATTACCAGAAGACTCACCCCCTGCCTGCCCGTTTACTCTTACTTTTATAGCATACAGAAACATTTAGGTATTAGTTTTAATGTTATGACTAAATCAACTGGCTCAGATACATTTCTGTGCATCTGTCATGCTACATTATTTTACCTTCTTAGCTGAAACTTTTGGTATCAAGAAGACTGGGACATTTCTTTTTTTAAAAAAGAAACTTAACATTTAAAAAAAATAGAACCAAATACTAATTTTCAATGTTATGGAAGGCACTTTCAGCACACTGGCAGCTAGATAAGAGATTTGGATATACCCAACAAGTGGGAGGGGGAGCAGAAATCCTGGAGAACCACTGTCAGAGACAAACATATTGTCATGGAAAGCTGAAAATTTCAAGGATCTATAATCGTCCCACCTGTAATGGTTTTTCCCCCCAGAAACAAAGTTTACATTACATTAAAGCGAAAGGGGAAATGAAGGAGAATAGGGTGAGGATTCTCATTTTCCAGTAGTGAAAATACAATTACCATTTTAAAAGACTATATTGAATCTGGAGCCCCACAGAAAAAACAACAGCTCTACAAGTCACCTTTTGCACGCATTTCAATAGAATGCAATCTTTGCAGCCTGATTATTACCATTTAAATGGCACATTGTTCACTGATGATCACCATGTAAGAAAAACCTACTGAACATACCTGTTTTATATATTTCATTCATATGTAGTGCAGTTCCCTAGGATTAAGACTAAGAGCTTTGAATATGCAGATATTACATAAACTTTCAGTCCAATAACTCAGAGCTGTTTCAAGTTCTCAAATGCAACGGAGTAAGCTACACAGCACTGGATTCGATTTGTAAGATTGTGTTTTTTCCAAGAAGACAGCTTAGCTCAGCAAGTGGGGGTATTTATTAACTTAATAAATCTATTTTAATGGATCCCTAGGTCCCATAATATATATATTTGAATTACCATATTAACAGGCCCAAGAAGAACATGGAATACCAATCCCATCCTAAATTCTACAGAAAGGGACGAGGAGAGGAGACTACACAGATTTTGCAGAGATTTTCTACAGATTTCTGTAGTCCCCTCCCTGCCCACAATTTTAGGACTGAGTCATACACCCTCCCTTCTTCATCACAGACATATCTGACCTCAATAGAAATCCCAAAGTATCAGAAACAAGCCAATATGGGAAAGCAGCTGGAAAAAAAACAAAAAAAAAATTCAGAGGAAAGAACTACATCATGAAACAAACAAAAACTGTAGAATACATTACGTCAATGTTTCTGATGACGACGCATTTTCCATTGGTATACAGAAAGTTGTTGCCCTTGGGATCCCCTCCAATAATTTTGGAGACACCTCTTTCAACCTGGGGGAGGCTGGCAAACACTTTTTCTACAAAAAGAAGAAAATACAGAGAGATGGGGATATGGGGCATCACCAGTCAACGTCTTTCAGAAGCAAGGCAACCCGCCCCAGGGTCTGCGGCTGAACAGCCACTTGTTGCTGCCCCCAGAGCCCGGGACGCTCCGCACCCGGCACAACCCGGGCGAGCCACCCTGGAGCGGCGCGGGGCGAACGTGGGGGGGGGGGGTCCCCCGGCGAGCGAGCCTAGCGCGGACCCAGGCACCGCCCGGGGCAGGGGCAGCGGCAGCGCAGGCACGGCCGGAGCCCGAGCAGGCGGCTCCCGGCGCGCCGCTCCCCAAGCCAGCCGCCGGGGCGGGCAGCCACGCGAAGGCGGCTCCCTGCGGGGCACGGGAAGCAGCCGGGCGCCCCCCGCACTTACTGCTCTCGAACGGCATCTTGGCCCGTTTGTTCCCGCGGCCGGAGGCAGGCGACGCGCTCGGGTCCCAGGTGGCGGCGGCGGCGGCCCAGCCTCTCTCTGCTCCCGCTCCGGCCCCAGCCCCAAGCTGCAGAGCAGGAAGCGCCCGCCGAGCTCGCCGCTACTCCCCTGCTTTGACCATATATAGTCAACTCCGCGCTCGCCGAGGAGCGGCGGCCGCTCCCCACCGCCGCGAGCCCGCGCCCCACGCCCCGCCCCGGAAATGCCGTAGGCTCGCGCCAGCCCCGCCCCAGGCTGAGCGCGCGCGCGCGCGCGACCGAGAAAGAGAGCGGGGGAGAGGCTTCGCCCGGTCTCTGCATCGGGCCTGGGAGCTGCCTCGGCTTCTGCGCATGCTCGCTCCCTCGTGGGCCGTCCTCTGGCGCGTGCGCGGAAGAGTGAGCGAAAGGGGAAGCTGAACGGCGGGGGCTGTTTGCGCTCAGCGAGCCCTGCCCCCACCGCCTTCTCCGAGCCAAAGAGGGTAGGGCAAGGAAAAGAGGGAGCGCTCGCGAGCGGGCAGTGGCGGGGGGGAGCCGCCGCCGTGGGGGCTGAGGCGTGGGCGGAGAGACACTGTAGTGAGGAAAAAGAAAAGGAGTTCTTGTGGCACCTTAGAGACTAACCAATTTATTTGAGCATGAGCTTTCGTGAGCTACAGCTCACTTCATCGGATGCATTCAGTGGAAAATACAGTGGGGAGATGGGGAAATAGTTTTACTTTGTGTAATGACCCATCCACTCCCAGTCTCTATTCAAGCCTAAGTTAATTGTATCCAGTTTGCAAATATAATTCCAATTCAGCAGTCTCTAGTTGGAGTCTGTTTTTGAAGTCTTTTGGGCTGGGTAGTGGGGTGAGAAGGAGGGGCCGTGGGGGTTGAGGCGGGAGGAGGAGGAGGTGGGGCTGTGTAGCGTGGGGCTGAGGGATGGGGCTGTGTAGCGTGGGGCTGAGGGATGGGGCTGTGTAGTGTGGGGCTGAGGGAGGAAGTGGTGCTGTGTAGTGTGGGACTGAGGGATGGGGCTGTGTAGCGTGGGGCTGAGGAGGAAGGCGGGGGGGCATTGGGGGCTGTGAGAAGACAGGTGAGCAGGAGTTGATGGGGGGGCGGGAAGGAGCAGATAAAGGAGGTTAGCACTGAGAAGCAGAGTGTGGGAGGGGATGGAGGGTAGCCCACATCAGGCGTGGGCACAGTGGGGAGGGGGCAGAGCGGGTCAGGAGTGGGGAGAGAGAGCAGGCAGAGGTGGTTGCTGGGAGAAACTGGAGCTAATGGGAGTGTTTGCAGAGAAGGGGTGGAGCTGGTCAGGCCTGGGTGCAAGATGGCAGAGCAGATCTCAGGTGAGTGAAAGCAGATGGTGGAGCAAACTTGGGCAGGATGAGAGAGGAGGTTGGGTAGATGGTGAAGCAGATCAGTAGGGAATATGAGAACGGAGGAGGAAAGAAAGATCTACTCCTAGAAGCTACTTTAGCTCGTCTCCAGTCCTGCTCTGCTTACTTCTGTCCTCCGTGAACTGGGAGCCATTGCCGAGCTACACAACATAGGTGATAAGTGAATTTTGTTCTGAAAATTACTGCTTCATGGGCACAACCATGCTTGTTATAACTTAGAAGAAGGTGCCAGCACAAAAACCCAGATATAGTTGTAGTGAACACAGAAATTTAATCACTTGAATTTGGTCCTGCCACCATACCCCAGACCACTGAAGAAATGAAGCCCCTTCTAACTCTGGGTGCTATCCTACAGGGGTGCTAAGTAGCTGAGTTATACTTGCAATTAGCCTTTTCTGGGTGGTAAAGCTTAGCTGAGCCCTAAAACCCATCAGACTTCCATGCTGTTCTCATTTTTGAAGGCTATAAGGTGGATAGACTGTCAGGCTCAATGGGTAGTGATCAATGGCTCTATGTCTACTTGGCAGCCGGTATCAAGTGCTCCAAGGGTCGGTCCTGGGGCCGGTTTTGTTCAATATCTTCATTAATGATCTGGAGGATGGTGTGGATTGCACCCTCAGCAAGTTTGCAGATGACATTAAACTGGGAGGAGTGGTAGATACGCTGGAGGGTAGGGACAGGATACAGAGGGACCCAGACAAATTAGAGGATTGGGTCAAAAGAAATCTGATGAGGTTCAACAAGGACAAGTGCAGAGTCCTGCACTCAGGACGGAAGAATCCCATGCACCGCTACAGACTAGGGACCGAATGGCTAGGCAGCAGTTCTGCAGAAAGGACCTAGGGGTTACATTGAACGAGAAGCTGGATATGAGTCAACGGTGTGCCCTTGTTGCCAAGAAGGCCAGTGGCATTTTGGGATGTATAAGTAGGGACATTGCCAGCAGATCAAGGGACGTGATCTTTCCCCTCTGTTCGACATTGGTGAGGCCTTATCTGGAGTACTGTGTCCAGTTTTGGGCCCCACACTACAAGAAGGATGTGGAAAAATTGGAAAAGTCCAGCGGAGCGCAACAAAAATGATTAGGGGACTGAAACACATGACTTAGGAGGAGAGGCTGAGGGGACTGGGATTGTTTAGTCTGTGGAAGAGAAGAATGAGGAGGGATTTGATAGCTGCTTTCAAAGGGGGTTCCAAAGAGGATGGATCTAGACTGTTCTCAGTGGTAGCAGATGACAGAACAAGGAGTAGTGGTCTCAAGTTGCAGTGGGGGAGGTTTAGGTTGGATATTAGGAAAAACCTTTTCACTATGAGGGTGGTGAAACACTGGAATGCGTTACCTAGGGAGGTGGTGGAATCTCCTTCCTTAGGAGTTTTTAAGGTCAGGCTTGACAAAGCCCTGGCTGGGATGATTTAGTTGGGGATTGGTCCTGCTTTGAGCAGGGGGTTGGACTAGGTGACCTCCTGAGATCCCTTCCAACCCTGATATTCTATGTTTCTATCTCCAGTTTTTATCTTTATTTTTGTGTGTGTTCCCCCCTCCGCCCATCACGGTAGTGTTTGAATGCCTCACAACCAATGAAGTTTTCTTCAGAATAATCCTGTGATTCAGGGAAGTAGAAGTATCCATTTATTTTATAAACAGATGGAGAACTGGCCATTAGAGAACTGACTGCCCAAAGATATACAGGAAGTCTGTATTAGAGGCAGAACTTGAACACAGACCTGAGGCCCAGTCCAGTGCCTTCAACACAAGACCATCTTTCCTATCATTTTGAGAGTAGGAGTGGGAGGAGGCACAGGAAACTGACTGAACTCCACTTTGTGAGGCGAAACAAAGCGAATAAAGCAAAATGTATGCTGGGGAACATCGAAAGCACAAAGAGTCAGCATTTCTGTGGCTACATATGAAGCAGGGACTTTTGTAGCAACCACACCTAAAAGGGTAGATAATTAGGCTATTAGCATGGTGCATTATTCTTTTTAGAGAATTCTTGCATGGATAGGGCAGCTGGTCCCGTGGATCAGTCCCAAATACAGATCTGGGCCGCCAGCTGTTTTAATCCATCCCTCAAGCTCCTGCTGGGGAGCGGGGTTTGGGGCTGCTCCACACAGCTCCCGGAAGCAGTGGCATGGCCCCCTTCTGTCTTCTACGCGTAGGGGCAGCCAGGGTGCTCCACTCTGCACACTGCTCCTGCCCCAAGCGCCATGGCCAATGTGAGCTGCAGGGGCGATGCCTGCGGATAGGGAAGCATGCAGAGCCGCCTGGCCGTGACGCTACATAGGAGCCGGAGAAGGGACATGTCGCTACTTCTGGGAGCTGCTTGAGGTAAGCGCTGGCCAGAGCCTACACCCCTGCGCCTCCCCCCCTGCCCCACCCCGATCCTCCTCCTGCCCTCCGAACCCCTCGGTCCCAGCCCAGAGCACCCTCCTACACCCCAAACTCCTCATCCCCAGCCCCACCCCACAGCCTGCACCTCCAGCCGGAGCCTGCACCCCGACCCAGCTGGAGCCCGCACCCCAATCCTCTGCCCCAGCCCGGAGCCCACCCTGAACTCCTCATTTCTGGCCCCACCCCAGAGTCTGCACCCCCTAACCAGAGCACTTACCCTCTCCCACACCCCAACCCCAATTTTGTGAGCATTCATGGCCTGCCATACAATTCCTAATTCCAGATGTGGCCCTTGGGCCAAAAAGTTTGCCCACCCCGACTTAGAATATGGTTTAGATAAGATGTGATTTTCGGTGTCAATTGGCTTCAGTTGGAGTTCCGGCTAGAGATAGCCAGGAAATATTTTTCTCCATGAAAATTTTCATTTTGTTTTTCTAATTTTTTCTACACAAATTTTGAGAAAATTGTTGGTATCTTTATTCCTCCCTCACAAATTTTTCTATTTTGTCAGTGATTTTTCAGTGAAAATTTTTCACTCAGCTCTAGTTGTGGGTGCTCAGCACCTCTCAGAAGGGAAAAACTAAGAGAAGTCCAAGCTTTTGAATATTTTGAAAATATATGCTTTAATGGCTTTTTCTCAGACCTGTGTGGACACTGAGCTGTAACATCTGCGTCATCTTTGAAAGCATGATCATACAGTAACAATTTTAACATCTATGAAGTCTTTTTAGAGAAAAACTGGGAATTATTATGATTAATTTCCTTTATTTACTAAAAATGTGCATGCTGGTTTGCAAAGTAGATAGTTTTCAGAGTAACAGCCGTGTTAGTCTATATTCGCAAAAAGAAAGGGAGTACTTGTGGCACCTCAGAGACTAACCAATTTATCTGAGCATAAGCTTTCGTGAGCTACAGCTCACTTCATCGGATGCATACTGTGGAAAGTGTAGAAGATCTTTTTATACACAGAAAGCATGAAAAAATACCTCTCCCCACCCCACTCTCTTGCTGGTAATAGCTTATCTAAAGTGATCACTCTCCTTACAGTGTGTATGATAATCAAGGTGGGCCATTTCCAGCACAAATCCAGGATTTGACAAGAACATCGGGGGGGGGGGGGGTAGGAAAAAACAAGGGGAAATAGATTACCTTGCATGATGACTTAACTTAGGCTTGAATAGAGACTGGGAGTGGCTAAGCTTATGCTCGAATGAATTGGTTAGTCTCTGAGGTGCCACAAGTACTCCTTTTCTTTTTGCAAAGTAGATAGTGCTGCATTCCCTACCACAGAAGGCTTACAGAGGCCCTAATTCTGTGAACATGCTTACCTTTAAGCTGTGATATCAAAGGGACTGACTACTCACATACTTAAAGATAAGCAGCCATGCAAGTGTTTGCAGGACTGGGGCTTATGTAAAACAAAAACAGATTGGAG